TCTAAGGTTTCACTGGATTTTCAGGGTACATAATTTCTATTGCAACCTCCAGAGTCATATAAATAGCATAAAACAGGTTTAAATAAACAAAACCCCATATCCGTTTTAAAAATTTAATTGAAATCCATTTGAAGGAAAACCCAGAGTCTGATGAGAGATTATGTATTTCCCATGGTAGTTAACAATTCCACAGTTTTGACTTAGATTTCTTTATGGATTTTCAGGGTACATAATTTCTATTGCAACCTCCAGAGTCATATAAATAGCATAAAACAGGTTTAAATAAACAAAACCCCATATCCGTTTTAAAAATTTAATTGAAATCCATTTGAAGGAAAACCCAGAGTCTGATGAGAGATTATGTATTTCCCATGGTAGTTAACAATTCCACAGTTTTGACTTAGATTTCTTTATAGCAAAAAGGCCTCCAAGGGGAAGAGAGCATATTTATAATTAGCAATTGTAGTATGTTAGACACAGACTAATGCAAATTAAAATAAACTGAGAAGGGTAGGAAAGAGGAAAGAAGCTGTGCATAGCTCCAAAGTTGTCTTTTTATCTTAGAAACATCCTCCTTATTTCAAAATGCTAAACACACAGAGCCTAAGGTCTGAAAGAGATTCAGGGGTTACACTGTGGTCTCCTGCACAGCTAAGAGCAAATGTTGTGAACATATCCCACACCCCAAAACTTCTGTAGCTGTACCAGCAAACAGAGCAGATGTGCCTTGAGCCTCTCCTCCCTCCCTCTCCACACGTGTGATGCAGAACAACCCCATGGCCCAGTGGGCTGCAGGTGCCCCAGCAGCCAAAAGAGGCAGAAGCAGAAGGGATCACCCCTCCCTCAGGCAATCCAGGATCCAGAAACATGAACTTCTCTTCCTGGGCCTCTACATAGGAACAGATACAACTCCCTGAACTGAGCCAACATTCTCAGCTTTACACTTGCATCAGCTCACTCGCAGGCACCGTGAACAGGCTGCTGGTACCGAAAAACAGGAGTGCAAATTCCACTTTGGATCATTGCTTTAGCCCACCTTGTCATTCATTGTAGGTAAGTCTGAAGAACATACTTTCAATAATACTTCTATTTCATTTGGGGATGCAAAGAGAGGTGTTAAAACTGGGGTTCTGTTCCATGGCAGAGCTGGTGAGCATCAAATACTGAAAGAAGGATATGCAGGTCAAAATATGAACACATACAGACAAATTTCTCCATAAATTCCATTTGCAAGTAGTCTTCTCTTCCAAGACAAATGTTTCTGGCTCCCTGGGCTTGACAATTATTTTCAAAATCATGTAAGGGTTATGCAAGTGTTAGTGAAAGAACTGTAATGAGTTCAGCTCACCTACTCAGTGACCAAGTTTTCTACCACAGAACTGTCATATTGTTCTCCCAAGACTTTGTTTAAACACACAAATACTAATGGATCAGTCATGATCTGCAATGTACATTTACACAGAAGTACTTGCCATTTCTTTGTTCCAGTCTATAAGTAGTGCTCAGGATTCTTCATCAGACACCAGATATAAATAGCTTAGCTTTTTGTAAACATGCACATACCCTGATCTGAAAAATAACACATACTGCATTTATGTTATTTAGAGTTTTAATTATTGCAGTAGGCAATGAGTTGGAAAGCTGATGTAAAATTCTGTTCAACTTACGATAAACATCAGAGTGATAAATACTGACAGCATTTGATCAAAGAAGTCTGTCCTCTGAAGAACTTGGCATCCATCCTGTCCCCCTGCCTTCCCTCCCAAACCCTGACAAATATTTGCAACCCCAAGTCTCTCAAATACGAGGAAAAAAAAAATCTTGTGAAAGTCACCGATCATGATGATGCTCAAAGTAGTTTCTGAAGCAGAATGCTCTGGGTACCAGATGCAGCTGGAACTATTACGATTGATTTTAACTACAGCATTATTCTAGGAGCAATATCCAGAGTCCAGAGGGCACACAGGTTCTTGATCTTTGACCTGCAGCCTTATCCTTCTGTGAATTTGCCATCTATGCAGTAATTAACATACTTCAAAGGCTGCATCGTCTCTACCACAGGGACATATGTTTAAGTCCATTGCAGCTGCACAAGCCCATCATTTGAGCCTTTCACTCTTCCATTCCGGCACGCCTTTCACTCTTTGCCAGGCAACTGAAATACATGGGGCCTTTAAAGTATTCAGAGGTCTTCTATTTAAGCTGCAAGTATTGAAAACACTAGAAATCCCTGCAGTTGAGGTCTCCAGTTGCTCTGTAGGACACCACACAAGCAACCATGGCGAGCTGTGGTATGCATTCTGAGCAGCAACCATCAATCACTAAATAGCAAGTTACAAGGAACTATTTGACAGCAGTTTCAAAAACAGCTAAGTTGTTGTGGCCAGATCTACTAAAAGCTGCACTCAGCAGTGTAAGATACTCCCAGAGAAGAGAGGGAGGGAAAAATTCAGGGGGGAAAAAAAAAAAGAGAATTGGTAAGGTTAAAAGGAAACAAGCAACAGCAACACACACACACACACACACACACACACATATGTAAGTTCAAATGTATTTAAATTTGTGAACGCAACTGTTCTTCAAGATCTACTCCAATTTTCACAAGAACAAGCGAGTATAAAAACCTGTAATAATGAGAGCAAACATGAAGAGTGCCATGACCAAACCTGCAGTTACACAAGGACTGGCTGGATAGAAACACCTTTAGCAGAGAAGAGACAGTGTTTGCTTTGGAGCACCAGCTAAACAAGCTACTTTGGTTTCTTGAATGCTGTTTTTGTTACAGGACAGCGATGGATCAGTGAACATGTGATAACAAATGATGTGATTCCAGGATGTCAAACTGCCCCACGGCGAAGTGGCTTTAAACTTCCTCTTCACATGATCAGATTAACACTCAGGCCTACATAGAAGTTTAGTTTACAAGTTAACTTTTATCCACGGGTTCACGTGTTTAAAAAAAAAATAAAATAGAGGCTTTGACATTCTCAGGGAGAGTTTGGGAAGCTATCTGGCCTCTTCAAGCAAAATTATCCCACGAGAAACCGGATGGGAACTTTTCTCTCTGCCATCTCACAGACCACAGCTATCCTTCTCTACTTAGCCCCTTCTATTTTATAATTTCTACCAAACTCACATCCTCCTCCTGTGTTTTTGTCTTTCTAGAGCTCCCTTGAGCAGCCCTGTGAAGGCTACAGAAGGAATGCAGAATGATTCCTTGTGTGGACGTGGTGAATCGAGCTGAGCTGTATTTTGCTTAGTTTGGCAGATATTCACAGCATTATAAAAATTGCTTTCGCAAATAAATATTCAGTTTGCAAACTCTCTCCCCCACCATCCAAAGTAAAGACTGTCAGCACATCAGTCTGCAATGTCTGAGTAACTGAAAAATACTTAGGATCCTTGGATATTCCCCTATATGAAAGCACTTGGGAAGCTGCCATTTAGCATCTAGATGTAATAACCTACAAGGCTTCTGTGGATAAAAAGTCTTTCCTCCCCTGCTTATTACAGATGTTTGTGAAAAGGTAATCTTAAACAGGGTCAAGTTATTTAATTATGTTTCTACTTGGTATGTCAGATGTAAGGCTAATGAGCAGAGAATTAATTTTTGACAGAAAAACAAATTAGACCACTCCATCTTAATTGAAAAGAATAGTAAATTCTTTTAGAAATTACTGACTGAAAGGCAGGTGTTGTACACTTGCTCTTACTCTTTTTACAAGACCAAGTTTCATTCAAAACACCCCAAAAATGAAAACTTTGACCAGTCATCTATTTTTCATTAATAAATATATATATATATTTGTATTTGTAGTTTCTCCTACAGCTCAGATAATACAGTCTTAAGAACAATGTTCCATCTACTCCCTTGTCCAGCCTTCCATTCCCCACCTCTCAGCAGCAGAGAACCTGATGGTAAATAACTGGGCAGGACTGAACACACAGACCCAGCAGAGCACACATCTTCCTGAGCAGGGAGAGGAACAGTTCTGCAGCTCATCTTCTGGTGGGCCAGTAGTTCAAGGACACGGCAGCAACATCCTGCTCCTTACTGCATAATAGTTTCATTTCTTATTACCACTTTAGATCAGAAACAGCATAACACTTACCCAAAAACCCGGATCCCTAGAGAAGAAAATGCCCTGAGAGAGCACCTTCTGCAACGAGCTAAGGAACAGAGCTCTCTTTCAGAAAAACTGCTGAAAGCACTATTTGACCTGAGCTCCCAGATTCTTGGGGATCCACAGCTGCTTCTGAGGGTCCTGGGAAGGCAACTACAGAAAGAAAGCCTCCTGGCCTGCATTCAAGTATGTTTATGCACACCATGTAAGAGTTTCCACTACTACAGGAAATTTTTACAGGATCTGCAAATCCTATTTGGAAACCACAGATTTAAAACATATCCTCCAGTAAACAAGAGTTTTACTGTTAAATATACCCAGAAAGTTTCTCAATATCTTTTTCTCAGCCTGTTCTCTTTCTTGCCTTGGGTTTCTTGCCACTCTACTTGCCAAAAAGGAAGATATTTTGATACAATCTGTACCATCATTATGAGACACAACTGAGATGTATTAGTTGTGGGCAGCAGATATGGGATGCAATCTACTCATTCGTAGAGGAGTGTCTGCTCCCCCCAGCACACTGTCCCCAGCAAAAGGATAAAGAAAATCTAAACGAGAAAAGCTGAAAGACACTGTAATGAAGAAATACAGGAACACTTACGGTCAAGTCCATTGATGTATCTCATTGTAATTTCACAGTGCCCCCAAACTGCACTGACTATGGGGTAAAGTTTTTTCCCTTTTAGTCCTCTGAAGGCCACTCCAAGATACTGCCCGTCGACCATGAAGCTAAGCGTCCCTTCATCCATATCCAAAACCACCAGTAAGGAGTCTGGGAGTACAAAAGACTCATCCGGTTCCAAAAAGACAGGATATGTGACCCCAGGCTGGTTTTTACAGTTGTGGTAGAGTTTGTTGCGCCCCAGATCCCAACCCCACGACTCACTGTTGCTCCCAACCAACGATGTGTATCCCACCGAGTGCAGAGGAGCTTCGGCCGTGGAGACACCCACCACAGCGTGAGTTCCCCGTTGCCTCGTGGGCCAGTGGATCTGCCAGACGTGGAGGCCTCTCGTGTAGCCCACCTTGCCCCGGATGCAATCTGTGCTTTGGGCAACTGGGTGTCTATGGAAAGTCAGTTTATCGTCTTCCTTTACAAATATATTTAAGGAGCGATCTTCGTTGTTCCAAGCATGTTTATACTGGACCTCCAGTTTGGCAGGGGGCATATCCAACAGCATGTCCAGTCGTGCTGGCTTGCAGAAATCTGGGCCTCTCAGCTCTCGTTTCACAGGTCTATAAGGGGGCTCCCTCACATCCACAGACTTTATGCTCCCTGAGATTTTCTGGCCCATTGCTTGGCTGCAGGTTTACAAAGGAGAAAGAAAAGTTGACTTTGGCCCAACGTTACCTCATGAAAGCACCGTTACACTGAGCCAGTGACCTGACAGCCTGACTGGATTTACTCCTCCTGTTTGGAGTTTTTTAGCAGCAATGTTTTCAGAGGAAAAATGCTCCTGAAAGAAAGCAGAAAATTTCCAGTTAGATTAAGAAAACCAAGAGAAAAGCCACAGCATATTTTTAAGGAACTTCTTCTCATCCCTAGTAGTTATTTTAAACACCAAAGCTGACAAGTCACCACTTCTTTTTCAGTGTCCTACAGCGCTATCCAGCCTGCCAGCAGGATGTGGAGCCCACCAGTGCACGGAGTGCAGACAGTCATTTCCTCCAATTCATAATAGGATGCAGACATTCCCCACCTTCTGCCCTTCCACCTATTTTGTCTGGCCAAGTTCACAGCAGGCCTGAAGCAGGCGTAAGCCATTGCCCAGCAACAGCGATAAACTTTATGTTCAGCAGTAGCTTCACTTTCACTTACACATTTGTTTCGTACTCTTAGAAACATACACTGTGTCAGAATCTCCTTCGATTTCCAGACGTTCTCTTTCCTAGGCCCTGGCGACAGAGGCTTTTCTGCCCTTATTAAAACATATGCAGCCAACAAAATTTATATTTTTCCTTTTAACTTACACTGGCCTTAAATAAATGATGGGGGAAAAAAAACCCCAAAATTCATCAAGGTTTAGGGTTTTTTTATAAAGGAGCTGAAAGAAAAATTGGGGAAAAAATGAGGAAGAAGAGCCATAGAAGGACAAATGAAGAATGGCAGTTTCAGTTCTCTGGCAGACGTTTCTAATGGACAGCTACTGCAACTGGGGATGTTCCTCATGCTAAGCAGGCTAAGCCACAGCTTCTATATTTCAGTATTAGTCTGATGAGAAGAGCTGAAACACAGTAAGTCATGTCAAGAGAAATACATGATTTTGAAATACATTATTCTGTGCTTCCATAGACAAATGTGGCAGAAAAGCACCCAGGAAAGATTCTTTGCAGCCTAGGTAAGTTAGATTGATTTACATTTTAGAACTCAGTAGATTGCAAAGGTAAACCAAGAACCCCTAAAAGCATTAAAGGAAAAAAATTAAGACAAAGTCCTATAAACTCAAAATAGGTGATTGACATGGGATCAAATAAACTATCTGCAGTGGCAGACAGACTTCTGTCTTCTAGCAAAATAAGTGCCAAGTCCAGGAATGCTCAAATATAGCTGAGTGGACCCACTCTGTTTATTTACTGACAGAGTGATGAAGTGTTTCAAAAAGCAAAAAATCTCCAGACTCTTGAGAGGTTGAAGAGCCTAAGTGACAGTTAGCTGTCATAAAGTACCAAACAGCAGATGGGCATAAATATTCCTGCAAAAAAACATCCTGCAAGACTTTACTTGGTAAATAACAAGTCCATGTTCTTCTTTTTAAAGAACTTCTACCCCAGACACACTGTCCCATTCCAAAGATAATTTCTGAAAGATAAGAAACATGTATTCACGATAGAAGGAAATAAAAAGAGATGTCTGGGAAAAGAAACACCTGTAAAATTTACCGTTCAACCATGTTTGAGAAGTGAATGAAGTCCTTGTAGTATTTACAATGGCAAATACCATGTAAAGTGTTTTCTGCATGTGTTAAATACAGAAATGAAATGATGTCTATGTTATGTGAAAGTTCTCAAAAAAAAAAAAAAAAAAAAAACTGATTTTTGAAAATCACATCATAGTTAAGTGACGGTATGAAAATTTTCTTTTCTGGTGGCTGGTCCCACATGGGTATGGGCACACATCTGAGCACAAAAGAACTATCTCTTTGCACCTAATTTTAATCTCTGAAAATGGAAAAAAAAAACCTCCAACCCCTCATATCACAGGGATTCACAGGAGGATTCACAACGATTGAAGAGCTCTCCACATGAGATCAACTTGAATGATCTCCCTCACTTCTTTCCAAACCGTGTAAAAGGAATCTGAAACTTTACACAGTAATTGCATTTAAGCTGATGCTTGTCATTTCCACTACTGCAGAAGCACTCACAGGTTGTTTCAAAGGTATGATGCCAACTTGGCCCACCGAAGTAAGCTCAGTACTTAATTCCACACAAATAATCCCAGGGGAAATTAAACAGTGACACTAATACACACAGAGGGAAGTAACAGGGAGTAAATGCCATCAGGTAAGCAAGCTTTCCTAGGAGGACACATGCTCAGGGATTGGGTAGCTTCTTTGAAAAATGTGATTATTTGAGCATGAAAGGAAATGAAAAAGGGAAAACATCAGATGCTCACAGGGAATCTCAGTGATTTCTGTAGGAGACTTAGCCCTATGTGCCTTTGAAAATTTCCTCTTCAAAGCACAAGACAATTGGCACATTCCTGTCAGGGTGCTGAGGGGAGATGGCTGGGGAAGTCCTCAGTGCATCCTCCTGTATCACTTCCTGATCATGTGAGAAACTAAACTTGGCACAGATGTTTACCTGGCAAATCACCAAGAAATCAACACTGAAGTGACTCACTTGGCAAGCCACATTCTTCCCCATGAGCCCCAAACTGTAACATAACTAGGCTGGTAATAGATAGATCAGCAATTCAGAGGAGTAAAATGCAGCATTATGAGTACCTTGATGTACACACAACTGTGTCTTCACTCTGGGATGTGCTCAGTAGGTACTCTGGTTGGAAAATGTATCTTACAATATTAGGTCTTTCATCACACACAGATATTACCACATACATTAATTATATAATGCAACATTTTGCCAAATAGCTTTGTATGGACATAAGAGTGAACAACAGTGGAAAAATCTTACAGTTAGTGATGTGTTTAAGATGCAGCAGTTCCACTGAAAAGCTACCTTTTGTCAAATACCTTCTCACACACACATACTCTCTTGCATCCTGGTTTTGTGATCTGGCAGTTTTCTCAGCTTCTGCTAGAAGGCCAACTATAGTCATACTAACTTCATTCAAGTATTAGTGGACTTGAAGGAGTAAATAAGTCAACATTTACTGATTTGCCAGCAATAAAGGTGTAACCCCTGTGGCTGGCTGTGACCTAACAACTGTTATTGCTGGAGCTTAGTAGTAGCTGACATGAAAACTTCACGTGAGGAGGCAGTGAAGGGTTGTAACGCATGTCCCATTCAACCCATGAAACAGCACCATGAACTCCACAGGGAGCAACTCAAGCACAAAGTCCTGGCACCTCACAACAGTCCCTTTGGGTGCTTGCAGGAGCAACCTGCCTCAAAGGCAAGATCATCTATTCCCTTTCCTTGCCTGCATCCTGTCCATTTACACCAAGCAGATGGCAGAGACCGACACTGAGGTGAGGAACAGCAGCAGAAGCATCACCTTGCCCTTCAACTCCATCAGAAGCTGCTGTTGGAGGAGCACAGCTTACCATGGCCCAGCCTGTCTCCAACAACAACAACATCACCTCCCTACTTCCATAAGTAACATACTTCCAGTGCAGAAGCCTCAGAAAAGTCATACTCACACCACTACTATGAGGATCTCCAGGCAGCTTAGCCCCACAGAACTGTGTACCAGCAGCTGTTGGGAAAGCCAAGCATGTGCCCACAAAGGCAAGCAGGGTGACTAACAATTTGTCTGGCAAAGGTACACCAAACTGGCTTCCTGTCTGAAGGGTTGGATGGATGTACCACAGAGGATTAGGAAAAGCTGTAGGTTGACTTGAAAGAACAGAAGATTATTCCTTTCAGATTAGTCACTATTCTATCAATTTACAGAAACATTTGGTTGTAAAACCTTCTTACCATTTTCTGAGTTAATTAAAACTCACCAAAGCACAGCACCGTCAGTCAACTGCTTTGACTTTTTGTAGAGAAACCTAAATTTCCTTGCCTGTATCTTCTCACTAGGCACATGGATATTCAGAAAGAGAAAGCACCTGAATTTTCACTGTATAGTTTTGCTTTGAAGGTTTGTCCAAATCTTTACAAATCCATTCATTTCAAAATCACTAAAGAAGTTAAAAAATAAGAAGATATTTCAGTCTGACTTAACACAAGAACTCTCCATTATACCAGTTTAGTGACTACAGCGGAAACACAAAATTTCATCTGTTATCCCTGTGATAAAAGATTTTTGTGGAAAATGATCAGCACTTGGAAATCTCTGGTTGAGAGGACTGCTAATTTTTGTAACCTACGTAATTTCTGCCTCACAGTTTCACATTCATCCCATGCTTTGCCAGGACATGATGATTAGACTAAATGCACTGTACAAGAACCACACAACTCCAACACCAAAAGTATGTCAACGTCACTTTGCAGTGTCCTCATGCAGCGTGCTAAAATGTTTAGGGAAATTATTCACATTAAAAACATAAATTATACTTACCAGAGAAAGGCTTGCTGGGACATCACTTTGCTGTAATTAACCAGGGTGCATTTTTTAACAGTTTGGTATGTTGGCATCAGTAGAACATAACTCTGATAAAAGAATCATACTTTCTGCAAAGTCAGATTTCAGCATTCAGAGCTCTCTTT